ATTGCATTGCACTTTATGAATATATATTTTTAACTAGTCCCCTACTGATGAGCCATTTAGGTTGTTTCCAGTCTTTTGCTATTTTAAAAAAGAGGTTTATTGATTTATTTGAAAAGCAGAGAGACAGAGAGTGAGACAGACAGACAAACATAAGAAAAAAGAGGGACAGAGAGTGAGATCTTCCATCATTGATTTACTCTCCAATACCCACAACAGCCTGGACTAGGGTAGGAACCAGGTACTGTATCCAGGTCTCCCATGTGGGCGGCAGGGACTCAAATAACTGCCGTCATCTGCTGCTTTCCCAGGTGCTTTAGGAGGAAGTTGGAATGGAAGTGCAGAATAGCCGGGACGTGAACTGACACTCTGATGTGGGATGTGGGTGTTGCAAGCTGTGGCTCAACCTACAGCTTCCCCACAAGTCTGTTATTATAAACAGTGAATAACTTCATATATACTAGAGATCTTCAAAGAGTTCATGGGAAATGTGTATTATAAAGAAATTACACGTGTATTTCAAAAATTTTTGTACAAAATAAGCTTATCCTTTTAGTCAGCTTTTCATTACTTTCACCAAAATTGATGAGAAGAGCCATTTAGGAGGGAAGAAGGTTTACTTCAACTCACACCTCACAGTCCAAGATTGCTTGGCCCATCAGTCGGGCATCTAGTGGAGGCTGGCAGTGGAAGAACCTCTACAGAGGCATGAACACTTGGCCAACCAGGAAGCAGTGAGAGACAGGAGGCATGTTGTTCTTCTGTGTCCACTGTGGTCTCTTCATAAATGCACCTCAGTTTGATCATGAGGCCCCACTCTAGCAGCCTAATCCAATCCAGTTACTTCCTGAAGGCCTTACCCTCAGACATCGTAATTTAATCAAGCCTCTACCTAATTCACCAGCCGTTAACATAAGACTTTGGTGTTTAAACATCTGTGAGAGTTTGGGGAACCAAATCCTCTTCAACCACAGCATTTAAAATCCACTTCCCATGAACTCTTTGAAGTGCACTTGTATGTATCAGTTTGCATGAAGCCAGTATGGCCAAAAGATAACATACTGGGCATAGAATTGCTGGGTCAGAGGGTATGTACATTTTACACTTTGATACATGATGATAAATGGCCTTCCATAGAGATTGGTTGTCAGTTTGAATCACCTTGACTGTATTTCAAGATGCAATTCTAATGTTATCTATATAAACCTTATAGCATTCCTTGAATGGTTTTTGGTAATTAGTTGTCCAAGGAAAGTATTTATTCTGATCAATAATAGAACCTTTTAGAGATCTTTATATGATGCAATGTGAAGTGTGTTTGGTATTAAGTTTTACATTCTACTCAGATTTCTCAATGGCCCTTAACTTCTCATTTGGGCCTGAATTATGCTCTTGTGGCTGATGATGTTAAGCAGTACACTAATTAAGCAGTTTCTCGACATTTAATGGGTCATTTACATTCATAGACATTTCTTTTGGTTTGAACAATGTCTTGTTCACTGATTTATTACCATTTCCAGCCTAAGATTTTCCAAGGGATTTATTTATTTATTTTTAAAATTGAATCAGGGGTGGGGAATGTCTGGCCATATAAGACTCTTAATCATTTGGTCTGGCCCTGGCAACCATGGGTGGGACTTGAAATTCAATAAATCTATAACAGACTGATTTTTCCATTGATAATTTTTTATGGTCCATGAATGGTGTTATAAATATCCAAATGGTCCTTGGCAAGAAAAGGGTCCCCACCTGAATCAGGTAAACAAGAGTGGTGGGTAAGCTTCTGATTATATCATTTTGAGTGGATTCTTGCTGGGTATTCTATATATAATGGGTACTTTTGCTTTGGATTCTCTTTTTTTTAAATATTTTATTTATTTATTTGAGAGTTAGAGTTATGGATAGAGAGAAGGAAACAGAGAGAGAGGTCTTCCATCTGCTTGTTCACTCCCCAACTGGCCTCAATGGGCTGGAGCTGGGCCCATTCGAAGCCAGGAGCCAGGAGCTTCTTCTCCCATGTGGGTTCAGGGGCCCAAGCACTTGAGCCATCTTCTACTGCTTTCCCAGGCCATAGTAGAAAGCTGGATTGGAAGAGGAGCAACCCAGACATGAACCAGTGCCCATATGGGATGCTGGTGCTACAAGTGGGGGCTTTGACTACTATGCCATAGTGCAGGCCCCCGTCTGGATTCTTTTGCTCAATGCAGTGTCCGTGTTATTGTGCACTTCAGTAATTCATTCCCTTTTTCTGCTATAGAGTATTCTGTTGTATAAGTAGACCATGATTTACTTATTCATTCTTTTGTAAAATGGGTTATTTACAGCTTTTGGTTAAAATCAATAGGGCTTTTGTGTACATTTTTGTGCATGTTGTTCAGTGGTCATATCTTAGTATTTCTTTTAATGTCTTTCATCAGGATAGTTTTAAAAGATTGATTTATTTGAAAGGCAGAGTTACAGAGAGAGGAGAAACACAGAGAGATTTTCCATCTGCTGCTCACTCCCCAAATGCCTGCAATGACCTGGGCTGGGCCAGGCCTAAGCCAGGAGCTGGCAGTTTCTTCCCAGTATTCCCTGTGGGTGGCAGGGGCCCAGGGAATAGGCCATCTTCTCATGCCTTTTCCAGGCACACTGGCAGGGAGCTGGGTTGGAAATGGAGCAGCTGGGACTTGAACTGGAGCCCATATCGAATGATGGTGCTGTAGGTCGTGGCTTAAACCACTTTGCCACAATGTGAGCCCCTCAGGATAGTTTTAATCTCACAAAACTGCTGAAATTTTTCTTTTAAAAATTTTTAGTTTATTATTTTTTAAGGTTTATCTACCTGGGGGCTGGTGTTGTGGCATAGCAGATTAAACTGCTGCCTGCAGTGCTGGCATCCCATATGCATAGGCACTGGTTCAAGTTCTGGCTGCTTTCTTCCTATCCAGCTCTTTCTCAAATGTCCCCCCTTTTTTTGTCTTTAAAAAAATATTTATTTAGTTATCTGAAAGGCAGAGTGATAGAAGGAGAAAGAGATCTTCCATCTTTTGGTTCACTCCTTAAATGGTCGCAATGACAGGGCTGGGCCATGCTGAAGCCAAGAGCCAGGAGCTTCTTCTGGGTCTCCCACTTGGGTCAGGGATCCAATTACTTGGGTCATCTTCCGCTGCCTTCTCAGGGCGCTGGATGGGAAGTGAAGCAGCAGGGACTCAAACTGGCACCCATATGGGATGTCGACACTGCAAGACCGTGGCTTTAACCTGCTGCACCACGGTGCCCGCCCCAATAAATACATCTTAAAAAAAATTTATTTATTTGAAAGGCAAATTGACAGAAATCTTCCATCCTGTAATTTACTTCTCAAATGGCTGCAATGGCCAGGCTGAAGCCATCTGGTTCCCAGGGTGTAGCAAGGGCCCAAGCACTTTGGCCATTTTCCACTGCATTCCCTGGTGCATTAGGGAGCTGGAATTATTTGTCTTTAGTTAATTTGTATACAGTAATTCGGATACTTTCCCCAGTGACTAAGATTTTCTTTCCACAGCTGGTGTCAGAAATGATGTTTGAAGATATCTGAATGACCTGAAAGTATTAGTAAATAGTTATTATTTTACTATATCTCTTGGCCAAAATCCTGGTTAATCAGTGCTTTTTGAATTAAAATAATATTCTATATTACATCCATCATATTCTTAGATATTTAAGATTTAGCTTAATAGTTTCAGGGTACTCCAAAAAAGTTCATGAACAATGTGTATTATAAAAACTGCACATGGATTTAAATAGTTTTTTGCCTCAAAATAAATGTCTTTTAGTTTCATTTTTCCAAGAATTTTTTTGACGTGCCATGGTGCATTCTCTGATTTCCCAAACCATGAAAAAAAGTTACCAAGCTTCATTTATTCATAATTAATTCAGTATGATTTCTCTTCTTTCTTCTTTTTTTTTTAAATAGCCTTTCCCTCATGTTTAAGTAGTAAAAATTTTACTATTTTTTTTCTTTCTGTTCTCAAAATTCCACTGGGGGTGACAATCATTTTTGCTGATTCACAGCTTTATCAGGTATGACTCCTAAGTGTCATGTTGGACTCCACAGATGTGTTGTTGAACTTTTCAGAGGAAAAGCCGTCTGCACTGATTTTCATATGTTTACTTGAACTGTGTGTGTATCTTACGAACATTATTGGGCTTCAAAGGCATAAAGTGACTTTTGTCTCAAAAGCATGCTTGCCAAATTTGTTATGCTTATGTTTCAAAATGAAGTTTTAAGTGTTTTCTGAAATATTGTTGTTTTATGTCTCTAGCTTCCTCTAGTATTGATCTGTGTATAATTCTGTATGTTTTTCCTGTTTATATGACTGTTTATAAATACATTTTTGCTATTCTTAGCATATGGTGTATATGTATTTTTTTGGATGGTGCATATTCTTTACTACAATACATATTCCTGACCAGACTTTTTTCAAAATATGTCCCATGAATACATTAGTCTTAGATGCTGAGTGGAATGGCACAGCAAAAGTTATCTCTCCTTGAGAGATTAAACCATGCACATTAGTAAATTAAAAGTATTGATTTTATGCAATAAAGAAATTATTTATCTTAGAATCTTCTAGAAATATTTGAGTACAGAACACTTTATAATGCACAGGGATGTTCTGAACCTACTGATCTGAGAAATGCTTCCAAAACTATGAGTAAGTTTTTTTGGTAGTGTTTCAAAACATGAAATAAAATTGACACAAGTGATTAAATTTTCAAGCGGTTAAAGCATTTGGCTAAATTGTACTCTAGGGTTGAATTTTCTTTCAAAATTACATTTTGAAGCAGGGCATTGATTTTTCTTCCCCCATAGTAGTTCTCTTTCCATACTTTTGATGATCTTTAAGAAGAAATTCTAAAACTGTAACAATTCTGCTTTTCTGTTCAACAGTTATTTTTTGTTTTTGTAATTGTTTAATTATTATTTTCCTCCCATAAGAATTTGCTTTTATCTTTAAAAAACATATTTATTGTTTCAGATAGCGTGACACAGGAAAGGAGGCCTCCCAAACTTGCCTTTATGTCCAGAGGTGTTGGGGACAAGGGTTCATCCAGTCATAGCAAACCAAAGGCTACAGGTATGAATCAACAGGATACAATCCTTGGTAACTTACATGACATCTTATTTCCCACAGTATTAAAAGTATTATAAGTTATTACTCCTTAAAATGTATGTAGACTTTTTTCTTTCAAACTTTAATAGTTAAATTAAAAAATTTTTTATGTAGTGTTACTTAAGCTAAGGATTCCCAACCTTTCTTAGATGATGAGAAGTTTCTTGTGAGGATCTGTGTCTTTTCCTGGCCAACAATCACCTGCATTTTGAAACCCTGTCCTTGTAACATTTGTGTATATAGTTTAGAGTTGCAATTGTATAAAATAATCATATGTGGACAGTATCTTATAGGATAAAGTATACTTAAGTTTAATTGTGTAGATTTTGCTAACTGGCAAAGACATGGAACAGATTAAATTCCAAATTACTAAGTGGAAAGTTTTGTCTGTCTTCCAGAAACTACCTCACAGTCCATGTGGAGTCCACAGCTTTTGTGTTGTTGTTGTTGTTAGCTTCCACATACTTCATAGATTTACAGGGTGGTACTTAAACAAGCCAAACAGCTCATTTAAAAAGTTAAAAAATTTTTGTTAACTCAGGTGTGAGATAGGAGAAGAATATGTTTTCCTTAGTTATCTAGTGAACAAAACTATTTAAGCTTGTTTAAAAGGAAATTGTACTGTAAGAAATGTCATGTGACATCAGGCCCTGGGAAATTTAGAATTAATTGCAGGATATTTAAGGTAATAGTGTGTTTTGTGGTAACCTGTAGATCTACATAGGATAACTCAAACTTCTCACTCTCTCTCAAATATAAATAACCATGGTGTGTTAATTGTGTTGCAATAGATCTTAATTAAAGTATAGAGCTTCCTGCTTTAAGTTGAAAAAACAAAATCAAACCAACCCAGCTGCTGTGTGGGTTCTGGGTAGTCCACTGCTCTCCACTGTGTGATGTCTTCTGAAATAATACTGAGACAGGCAGTGTCTTCAAATATCCATGACGTAGTTAACTCTTACACTAAATAAATCCAATGAAGTAATAGTGGTTCACTTTTCAGATGTGAAAAAAATGAAACAAGGAATTTGATGACCAACAAGTCCAAAATGTTTAATCCTTTAGTCTTTTTAAACTTAATTTGTATGTAGATTTGTACATAGATTTGATGAGTTCTTCTGAAAAGAACTGTTTTAAAATACAGTCATTTGTCACTTAGCAATGGGGCTATGTTCAGAAAAATGCATTGTAGGCACATTTTTGAGGTGTGAACATCATAGAATGAATTTATACAAATATGATATGAACATTGTAGTAGGTGTAGTCAATTGTTAAGCAAAATGTTGTTATATAGCATGTGATTTTAATAGGTGAGCCGATAGGTTCATCACGTGAAATTGGAGAATGGTGATTTTTGACATTTGGAAGCAAGCTTTATTTAGCACAGGGAATGATTCTTAAAGGAATTCATTTAAATAAAAAATGCCTGCCTTAATGGACTCCCATTTCCCTCCTGTATTGACTCTTGGGCTGAAGAACCTTTATTACATTGCCAGAATGGCTGCCAAGTTGTTAAAAACTGAAGACAATAAGAAAATAGACTGTTTGTATCCATCTGTTGGTTATGTGAACAGTTGTTAATACCACATGCATATTTCTCATATTAAAAGAAAAGCCTATCACACCATATTGACTTTAATTTTAAAAGGAACTTTTCTTGTTCCATAGGATCTACCTCAGACCCTGGAAATAGAAACAGATCTGAATTATTTTATACCTTAAATGGGTCTTCTGTTGACTCACAACCACAATCCAAATCAAAAAATACATGGTACATTGATGAAGGTAATCTATAATTTTAGTGTTTTTTTTAATTATCCTCTCTTTAACACATCAGAGAAAAATGACTTTTTCATCAATACTTGTAGGTTTTAGAAACTGAATGAATAGAGCAGTCCTTATTAATATTGCTGACTATAATATTGTACACAATTTGAGCTGCAAATTTATGCAACATTTAAAAATGTGTCCGTAGCTTGATCTCTTCTCTTTACTGATCCGTGTAGGGGAGAAGCACTCCAGAACAAATTAAAGACTTTGCTGTCTCTGTCTGTCTTAGCTTCTTTGAAGCACTCCCTTTTAAAAACTCTAGCTTCCTGCTTCTGGGATCATTTTCTTCAGGTTTATTCCTTTCTTCATTCATCTGATGAACAACTCTGTGCCAGGCATTCTTCTGTGCATGGAGGTTACAGTGGCACAAAGAAGTAGAGGTGCTCCTTGCCCCTTTTGGTTAAGGAGGTCGTGAATGAAGCAGTCACTGGAACCGACGGAGCACTGCAGCGTGAGCGCAGTGAGAGCAGAGGATGGGCTTACTAGAGGACTTCTCCTCGGGGCTCCAAGGGATTCTCTGAGCAGCTCACCTGTGCTTAGGTTTGTTAGAAGGCAGCAACGTGAAAGGGGACAGAGACCCTTTTAGGCAGAAGGAATAGCGTTTGTAAAGGCCCTGTGGAAGAATGGAGCCTGATGTTTGCCAAGGCCTATGAAGAGCACAGTAGCTAGAGCAGAGAGAGAGGGTATACATATTCTGAGATGAGAATGGGAGATAATCAGAGCCAGGGCGTGTGCAGCCTGGAGTGCCCTGTTGAAGGAAAATGGGGAGCCACTGAAGGGTTTTCAGCACGGAGTGGCATGACTAAGTTGACCTTTTGGAAAGATTGCTCTGGCTGTGGTGCAGACAGTGGATTGAAGTGGGGACTATGAATGCTAGGACTTACTGAAGCCTGTTGCAGGGCCCAGTAATAAATTGTAGTAGCTGGAACTAGACTTGGGGAACAAAATGGAGGGGCGTGGTTGGGTATAAGAGATACTTAGAAAGTGAATTGAAAGGACAGTCAGAAAATGAGAGTCAAGAAAGAAAGAGATGTCAGTGAACATGTCTGGTTTTCTGGCTTGCAGAGTCAGATGGTGGCAGAGGAAGGTGATGAGTTGTCCTGAATGTGTTGAGTTGGTATGCCCTGTTAAAGATGTTGAGTTGCTGAATTGTGAAGTAGGCAGTTGAAGTAGAGGTCTGGAGCTTAGAAGAGAGGTAAGAATTAGATAAATAAACTTTTAGGTTGTGAATAATATTACACAAGGAAAGAGTGGCTATGGAAGGCATGAGTTAAGACTGAACCTTAAGAAACTTAATGGTTGGGTTTGAAGGAGGAAAAGTCATCGAAAGATACAGAAAAAGTGACAAGAGGGATATGGGGAAGATGCTTTTGAGTCAGGAAGCCATGGAACAATTGGGCAGCAGTATTGACTGCTCTTGATAGGCCAGGAAAGGTGAAGACCACACAGTGCCCTATGGGGTTAGCACCCAGGGCCATTGCTGACCTTGGTCAGTTGTGTCAGACGACTGGAGCATGCCAAGGGTAAGAAGTGAAGAAGTAGAGAAATGAGTCCAGCTGCCTAAAATAGGAATTGGGACGTCATCCTGGACTTTCTCTCTCTCTCTCATTAGTCATAAGTAATCGTCACAAAGTCCTCTGGATTTCCTCTCTTCAATATTGCTAGAGTCTTTCCCCACTTCATTTCTATCTTATTTCTGACCCATGGCTGTAGTTCAGATCCTTCATTTCTTCCTGTCTGGATGAATGCAGTGGCCAAACCTGTGTTCCTGCCACAGTCTTGCTTCTGTTAAATTTCTTCTGAACAGTAACTGTCAGCAGCAGCAGCAGCAGCAGCAGCCCTGTCTTTACCCTTGTCATCATTTCAACTGGTATTTCCTGAGCACTTACTGCATTATTGTATTTAATCCTCACAGCAGTTTTATGATCTTTGTATGTATTCATTTACTGTTTTGTCATCGTTAGATAACTTGCCTAAGGTCACCGGGCTGTGGTCCTGAAGTCAGTGTTCCAACCCAGGTCTGTTTGACACCCGAGCTCATGCTTGTAATCACTACACTATGGCTCTCTTCACTTTCCTATCTGAGTGCCTTTTCTGAAGCTATGTTTCCTCGTGCCTCTCCTTCGCTTAGTACGTATTAGTATTTCACTAGCACTTGAAGACAACATTGAACTTTCTTTCTTTGACATGTTAGACTCTTGCGGTGTAACCCTGACTCATCTCTGTCATTTCCCCTGAACTTGGGCCATTCTTGGGATACACACTGCCGTCCCTTTTTGTGCTGCCCAAAGTCCTTTCTGCTCCTCCATCTCCACGGCTTACTTCTACTCACCTCTTAATTCACAGCCTGTTAGTTTATCCAGAAACCCTTGCCTTTCCTCTCCTACTTCTCCTAATTTAGGCCATGTATCATCAAAGTGGTTTGTTTACTTGCCTATCTCATCTGCCACATTATGTCCTAGTGTTTGCACAGGCTTAGTACCTAGTAGATCTCATAACTGTGTTTAAGCTAAATGAAAATAAGAATGTGAGAGTACTGTAGTGACTTTGTAGTGATCATATGGATTCAGTTACAGAGTAAAACACATCCGACAGTGTAATGGTGAAAATCTGCTGTTAAGGAAGTTCAGCTTAGATACTCACATGGGAAATGATTTTTGTCTTCTCCCTGCTTTCATCTCTACACTGAGTGGAGCGGTGAAGATAGGCAGCCAGGCCTTTACTTCTCAAGAATTCTTCGTAGGCAAGAGCAGGCGGCTAGGTAAGCTGGTGCTGCTTCCCCCAGGAAGCTCCTATCTCCTGATAGACTGCTGTTGTTAAGATGTGGCCTGAAACAAGCAACCAAAACCAAAACAAGCAAACAAAAGGTGTGGCCCGTGTGTTAGTAGGTACCGGAGTCTAAAAATTCTCCTGGAGTGTGTCTGGCACAGTCCGTTGGAGAATCACAGGCCCGCCCTCTTGCCTTGTTGTGACTGGCAGATTTGGTGATTCTTTTCCTGTGCGGTGATTTCTTTCTAAGGAAATAGGTTTTTTGTAATCTGGGTAATGTCACTTCTTTAAGTGAATGCTATTAATTTTGTCTTTCTTGTAAATACAGATTCTGTATTGTAGGGGAATATTCCTAACCTCTTGATTCTACTAGAAACTGGTCTAATGTTGCATAAGAATTTCATGAAATAATAGTGATCCTAAAAGACCCATGTGGAACATGGAGTAGGCCTTCGTTACTAAATTTGAAAATTGAAACAATTTAGATGTAAAAGAACATTATTTCTGTAGTTAATTTTATTTACACATTTAAAAAGCTTTTCTTTGTAACATTTGGTTCATTTTCTCACTTTTTCTTTTACAAATATTTGCTTGGATTAGTGGCTATACCAAATGTTATGGATTCAATTGTGGAAGACAGACAAAGCTAACAAAGTCACTGTGCTTATAGTGGGGAAATAGTTGATTGTGACCTGTGCAGAGGAGGGAATGAGCAACATGGTAGCAACAGGGTTGGGCTGGAAAAGATTCTTCCAGGAAAGGTTTTGGGCTGAGATCTAATGTGAGTCAGAACCTGCAGGGAAAGAGCTTGGAAGAGCATTCCAGGCAGAGGAAGTAGTGTAGGCAAAGGCCCGGAGGCGAAGGTGCATTGGAGAAACAGGAAGTAGGCCAGAGTGGCTGCAGCATTGTAAACAAGGAAAAGAGTGGTGAGCAATGAGTTCGGATAGGTAGGTAGGGAGCTAGTTCATCCAGAATCTCATAGATCTAGGTAAGAAATTAGTACTTACTCTAAGAATATCACAAAGCCGTTAGATGGCTTTAAGCCAGGGGATGATAGACTGTCACCTAAGATCTTTACATTTTAAAAAGATTTGCTAGCTGTTGTATGATGAATAGATTGGAGGGGGACAAGAAGGGAGGCGTGGGAACCTGGTTAGATGCTGGTTGAAGAGTGGAAGATAATGGTACCTCGCATTAGGGAGATACTGGTTGATGTTAAGAGAAATGGACAAATTTCAGATAGAACCAGCAGTACTTGCTATACAGATTCAGATGTTGGACCTGGGGGATTCGATTTGAGAAAGGGTGAAATAATTTTTTAAATGTTAGATTAAATATTATTTCTAAAGAACTTTAAGTAAGCAAGGTATAAAACACAGTAGGTTTAAAGTGCAGTTGATATCCATGTAGGTACTGCTCAGTTTAAGAAAAAGACCTTTATCGTTACCTTTGAGATCCTCTGGTGTCTTCCTAATCCCGTTGCCATCACTGTCTCCTCTGAGCTACCATCATCTTAAATTTGATGTTTTATGATTCTCTTGTTTTGCCTCACAGTCCATCACTAAGCTTTGTGTACCTAAACAGTATGCTGTTAGTTCTTTGTGATTTTGAGCTTTATGTACAAGGAATCACATTGCATTCAGTGTTGTTTAATTAAGTGCCTCCCTTAACATGAAGTTCCTAAGATTCATCCAAGTTGTAGTAGGAATATGTGATTGTAAATTTCTTCATTTTCATTACTGTATCATATTTCATGCTATGAATATACCATAATTTAATTGTCTATTTGGCCATCGATAGACATTTGAATTGTTTTTATTCTCTTGCTGTTATTATCAGCTGTTAATAATATTCTTACATGTGTCTAGGAGTGGTGTCACTGGGATGTGGGATGTACACATCTTCCCTTCACTAAATGACCCCAAACTGTTTTCCAAAGAAGTTATACTGGTTTGTACCCCGATACACTTATAAACAGCAGGATCTTAATTTCTCTCATTTGTGGAGTCCAAGATAAAAGTGCCTGCAGCCTTGGTGTGTGGAGGGGACCTGCTTTCTGGTTCAGCGAGGACCACCTTTTTGCGTGTCCTCACTGGTGAAAGGGGCAGGGGAGTTCTCTGGGCCACTTTTAAGCGGGTCCTAGCATCGTTCATGAGGATCTCGTCTGTATGGCCTGTTTACCTCCCAAAGACCTCACCTCCGAATGGCCTTGCCCTGGAGATTAGGTTTCAGTCTGTGAACTTAGAGGGCCTGCGTGTGCAGTCTGTAACGCACGCCCATCAGTGTTGTGTGAGAGTATCAGTTGCTTCTCATCCTTACCCACAGGTGATATTCTAAGACCTTTATTTTGAACTGATATCTCATGTTGGTTTGGTTTTCATTTTCCTATTTATTAGTGAGGACAAGAATAATTTCATTGATTGTTGGCAATTTGGATGTCTTCTGTGAATTGCCTTTTCAAGTTTTTTTGGTCTATTTTTCTTTTTTCTTACTGATTTATAAACTTTTTTTTTAAAGTTTTAGTCCTTTGTCTCCTACTATGTATTGCAAATATGTTCTTGTTTGCTCAGATTTTCACTCTTGCTCTGCCGCCTTTTAATGAGCAAGGAGTTCTTAATATCATGTAACCATATTTTTCAATCTTTTTGTATAATTTGTATTCACCTGTTTAAGAAATTTCTCTCTACCCTGAAGTTACCATTTTCCAGGTTTATGATGTTCCCTGTCACATTTGTTTTAAAGCCATCTGGGGCTGACTTGGTGCAGATTATGAGTAGGATTCTATTTTACCTTTTGGAAAACATCAGGAGAACCGATGATCTCAATTCTATTCACAGCTCAGCCTTCCCCTGACGACCTGCAGTGCCTGCTGGCAGCTGTGCTAGTTATTTTAAGGGAGCACCTTTGGACTATGGCTCTCTTTACGGGTGTTTGCTTTCTGTTTTTGTGTTTCTCCTGGCTTTGAGCTTTTTAATATATCTGTTTTTCATTCATTTATGTTCTTTTATTTATTCTTGCTTGCTTTGGAGAGCATTTAAGTCTTTTAACTTTTTCAGTTCTATGCTGAATTCTTTAATGTTTAGCTTTTCTTTTTTTAAGATAAACTACTTAGTTTGTAAATGTCCTTTATAAGTGTTGCTTTAGCTGGGTCTACAAATGTTCTTTCTTTCCTTTTACACTTTCCTTTTTCTTTATTTTTATAACGTATTATCATTTGTTCTTTGATCCGTTAGTTGTTTAGAAACATTTATTATTTTTTTGCCATCATTTTGCACTAATTTCTAACTTTTATTATGGACAGCAAATATAACTTACATGATTCACTACAATCCTACATTTTGTTGGCTTGAACAACTGCATGTCATTTACTGAGGTAGAGAAGTGTGGTGATTGGGCGGAGAAGCAAGAACACTGGTTTGGAGAGAAGTTTGTGATACCTACAAGAATCCTAGTAGAGAGGCCATGCGGGCAGTTGGACTGGCTCTGTCTGTTAATTTTCAGAGGTGTAAAGCGTGTTCCCTCTTCTCAGATGAGCTTCTCTAACTGAGAATACTCTCTCGTAGTTGCAGAAGACCCTGCGAAGTCGCTCACAGAGCTCTCTCCAGACTATGGCCATTCTTCACCGCCCCTGCAGCCTCCCTCCGTGAACTCCTTATCCAGCGAGAACAGATTTCACTCCTTACCGTTCAGTCTGACCAAGATGCCCAACACCAATGGAAGCATTGGTCACAGTCCACTTTCTCTGTCCGTTCAGTCTGTGATGGGAGAGCTAAACAATGCCCCTGTCCAGGAGAGCCCACCCCTGCCTATGTCTTCCAGCAACTCGCATGGTCTAGAAGTGGGCTCACTGGCTGAAGTGAAAGAGAATCCACCCTTCTATGGGGTAATCCGCTGGATTGGTCAGCCTCCAGGACTCAATGAAGTACTAGCTGGACTGGAACTGGTAATTTAATTTGACCTAAAAATTGCATTTCTTTTCTATATGAGGTTTTGTGTAGATTTTCCCCTACTAGATGTTTTTGGAAAACTGTTGTATTTGTAAAAAAACAAAAACAACCCTATAGAAAAATGTTGCAACTGTGCTGCCTAAATCCCCTTTGCTACCCACAAAGCTGCTGCCTCAGTTGTTCCAAATGCGGGGTGATCTGTGTTCATGGAAGGAAAGCGGGCTTTTAGGCTAATGTATTTCGGCTCCTTATGGTAAACAGAACCCAGTAAAGGAGGCAAATCTGTTGTCAGCTTTTCTGTTTTTTTTTTTCCCCCCTCAGCCTCCCTTTCCCAATATGTTTTAATAGTTGTATCAGTGACTTTAAAATTAATCACAATTTTCCGAGATCTTTGGTAGAGGGAAGGATTTTCCTCTGAGAGAACAGGGAAGCGTGTTGTTTCCTATTTCATAATGCAGAGAGGAAGATGTGAGTACATTTAATTTCTGCCTAAATCTATTTTTTACTTGTTTGTTTCTATTATTAACAATATTTATTTACTTATTTGAAATGCAGAGTAACAGAGGGATGGAGATAGAGAGAGAGAGAACAAGCTCTTTTGTTCTAATTCATTCCCCAAACAACTGTACTGGCCAGGGCTGGACTAGGCTAAAACTAAGAGTCAGGAATGCGATCTGGGTCTCCCATGTGGGTGGTGGGGCCCCGGCACTTCGACATCATTTGTTGCTTTCCCAGGCACATTAGGAGGAGGCTGGATCAGAAGCAGAGCAGCCAGGACTTGACCTGGCACTCTAATATGAGATGCCATTGTCACAGGTGGCAGCTTAACCTGCTGGGTTGCAATGCTGGCCCCATATGTGTTATTTTTTGCTTTAACAACCCTCTTCTTCCGTCTTCTCCCTTATTTTAATACTTGTGGAAATGATACAGGAAAGTCAGTTAATCAAAGGAAGATTTAGGCTTATAATCTGAAAGGAAATATATTGAGGTCTTCCTGCTGGGTCAAGGAATATATTAGCTGTGGGCTGAAAGCACTGCTTAGTCAACCCTGCTTCCTGCTGTCATTCTTAGTAACAATGTGAAGAGGGAATTCCAAGAAAGTGCAACCTAGAGACAAGTGTTGGAAACTTGACTTGTTTGTATACTGTCTGGCCAGATGCAGCATGAGGCATGTGGAAGCTTTTGTTTTCCAGGAGGACGAATGTGCAGGTTGCACAGATGGAACCTTTAGGGGCACGCGGTACTTCACCTGTGCCCTGAAGAAGGCGCTGTTTGTTAAACTGAAGAGCTGCAGGCCTGACTCCAGGTTTGCATCGCTGCAGCCCGTCTCCAATCAGATTGAACGCTGTAACTCTTTAGGTATTTAGATGCTCTTCCTTTATTTGCCATCCCAAATGATACCAATTCTATTTTTTAAAAATATTTATTTATTTTAAAGTCAGAGTTACACAGAGAGAAGGAGAGGCAGAGAGAGAGAGAGAGAGAAAGAGAGAGAAAGAGAAAGAGAGAAAGAGAAAGAAAGAGAAAGAGAGAAAGAAAGAAAGAGAGAGAGAGTGTTCCATCCATTGGTTCACTCTCTAATTGGCTGCAAAGGCTGGAGCTGTGCCTATCTGAAGCCAGGAGCCAGGAGCTTCTTCAGGGTCTCCCATGTGGGTGCAGGAGCCCAAGGCCTTGGGCCATCTTCTACTCTTTCCCAGGCCATAGCAGAGAGCTGGATCGGAAGTGGAGCAGCTGGATCTTGAACTGGCGCCCATATGGGATGCCGGCACTGCAGGCAGCGACTTTACCAGCTACACCACTGCACCAGCCCCAGCACCAGTTCTAATCTCACACCACTTTGCATTAGGTGATGGTGGCTACATGATTACTTCATGTAAACAGAAGTTAGTTATTGTAAGAGGGGACATTTAAAAAAAATGTTAGTTTGGGAAAGTGGGACTTAAGTAAAAAACAGTGGGGATTACTTTTTACTACTGCCTACAGACATCTAATCTTCAGTAATAGAGAAAACAGAAGTTGAAATGTCACTATGTTTTTGGCACTGACTTCTCTGTCAGTATATTGCTTAAGAATATCAGTAAACATGTCCCATGAAGACATCGCTGTTGGCGCTGGGAGCTTCAGGTGGGTGGCGGGGGATGACGCTCCTCATCACTTGTCCGGGGCAGCAGGTCTCGCTGCTGTGCCTTCCTGGTTCTGGACTGTAATGGTGAGGTGTCTTGTGGGTTGAGCAGGTGTCAGCATGAAAGCCATCTTTGTGAAGGATGCTTTTCATTATGTTGAAACCATATTTTGAAATTTTTTATTTTTTCAGACTGGCAGCATCTTCAGGTATATGATAAAACATTTGGAAAACAAGTATTTTAGTGGCCATATGCTTTGTATGTTACTTAGTGTCATTTTTTTAAGTTGTAGAAGAAGTGAGGTTGAAAAATAGGATTTTCATAAGCCATGCTGAATAGCAGCCTACCAAAGCCTGCTGCAAAAGTTAAGAAATGGATTTTGCATCAAAATACCAAAAAATAGATTTTAAATGAATAAATATATGTGAGATAAATATTGTATAGTAATACTTTTTATTGTACATGCTGTAATGTGATAGTTTAAAATAATTCTTTCCCATTTCTTTTTCTTTCAGCATTTGGAGGCTACTTAAGTGAGGTAGTAGAAGAAAATACTCCACCAAAAATGGAGAAAGAAGGTTTAGAGATAATGATTGGAAAGAAGAAAGGTATCCAGGGCCATTACAATTCTTGTTACTTAGACTCCACCCTATTCTGGTAAGTTTGAAATTAATGCAGTGGGTACACATAGTCCCTTGGGGGCAGGGACTGTATGTGTGAATGAGTTTGTGTGTGGGTGCATGTGTACATGTGACAGAATATGCAAACTGTCTCTGGTCGACTGGAGTTCAGGAAAGAAAGGAAGATTTGCTCTGCGTAGTACTGTACTCTGTGGAAGCAGTTGAATGTTGTCTCATGTGCCTACATCCAAAAATGAATATAAAAAAGAATGCAGCGACTATTGAGTGAGGCGAATGCTAGCCTAAGTGGAAGGATGTGGGAAATCCTATGACTGAAGAGAATAAGTACAGACTGTCTGTGTACTTATCAAACATGCTTGCAATGAGCCGTTGGTGGATAGATAACGAATTTGTTGTAGGAGGCAAAGGCAATCATAACAATTACTGTATTTTAAAAAATTGGTTTCTGTGAAAATACTGTCACCTTTGTATATATAATTTTCTTCCAAAGTGGATCAACTTGGAATCTTTAGGCTTTGAATATTGAGCTCTGAGGCTTGTCCACTATCAGTTAGATTGAGTGTGGCCTGCCAGCTCTGTCCAGCTCTGTTGTAGCAACTGGGAAGATAATAGAAGATGTTACAGGACAAAGGTAGGGAGAATAGAACTGGTGGGCCGTTTTGTTGGCAGGATAGTTTCAGTCCCTCAGATGTATTGATAAAAAGAAGCTTTATAGCACTGAGATGCTGCTTAGATTTTTCTGGAAAAAAAAGTCTGTTTTTAGCTAGATGTTCTTTTTCTTTGATACCTGCAAGTTAATGCTGTTAGTCATTCACAAGTGATTTTAGCATTTAAGAAAAGTTAGATCTTTGCAAAGGACCTGGAGTGAGAGAAGTATGATATTGAATGTTGTTTGCCATGGGAAGAAGTTTCCAGCTTCCTTCTGTGTGGTCTGCAGCTTGATTCAGGTTTGTGACTCTAACTTTAGCAGGCAAGCTTGCTTTCTTAAAATACTGCAGGTAAGTTTACCTCCTTCAAAACTTTGCCTTTTCAGTATTAGCATTCCCTTTAGTCTGGAGGATCTCAGGCCCTGATGGTGGAGCCATGGAAATCTTCACAGGAATCTTGGTTTGTGAAACCTCTGGTCACAGAAACCATGCCTATTTATTTCATTTGTTCCCTGGTCTTTGCTTCTTTTCCTCTTCTTCTTTTTTTTTTTTTTCCTTGAAAGAATGTTTACAGTCTGAGGAAAAATACCCCCTTTGTTTTTCAGCTTGTTTGCTTTTAGTTCTGTTCTGGACACTGTGTTACTGAGACCCAAAGAAAAGAATGATGTCGAATATTATAGTGAAACGCAAGAGCTACTGAGGACAGAAATTGTTAATCCTCTGCGAATGTAAGTAGAAGATATATGTGTAGTAGAGTTATTTTGCTTTTATGTGATATGCTATTTTCTGTTTTTTTCATACAGTAATTATCCTCCGGTTTCATGTAATAAAACACTGGCCAAAGTTAGTTCTTTTGGTGAAATACTAATTTTTTTAAACTTTTGGCTCTTATATCTTCCTTTTCTTATTTAATACATTTAAATGTAGTCAATGACCGGCGCCGCAGCTCACTAGGCTAATCCTCTGCCTGCAGCGCCGGCACACCGGGTTCTAGTCCTGGTTGGGCCACCAGTTCTGTCCTGGTTGCTCCTCTTTCAGTCCAGCTCTATGCTGTGGCCCGGGAGTGCAGTGGAGTATGGCCCAAGTGCTTGGGCCCTGCACCCGCATGGGAGACCAGGAGAAGTACCTGGCTCCTGGCTTCGGATCGGCGCAGCGCGCTGGCCATAGTGGCCATTTAGGGAGTGAACCAACAGACCTTTCTTTCTGTCTTTTTCTCTCACTGTGTAACTCTGCCTGTCCAAAAAAAAAAAAAAAAAGTGGTCAAAATGTAGAACATGTTCCTTTCTGTGTGGTTTAAAAAGTTTTGGTATACAGGTCAAGTGTGCTTTATCTGAAACACTCGGGATCAGACTCGTTTCAGATTTTGGAGTTCTTCAGACTTTGAAATATTTGTATAAACTTTACAGGTTGGTCATCCCTAATCTGAAAATCGAGATCCCAAATGTCCCCTTGAATCTTGAAGCAATTCAGATTTGGGCTTTCTGATTTGCGGGTGCTTAACCTGTGCTAGAATTTAGCAGTTGCAGGTAGGCTTAACAAAGCTGATCAACAGTACTTGGGGCTCATCTTTGGGAATAATTGATTCCAACTCTGCTACTGACAGTAATCATGCTTATTAGTTGAATTGGTGTAGTCTGGCTTCTTAAACTTAACTTTTCTACAAGAAAAGGGGCAGGTGAAATTTCTTACTGCTTTTATACTGGAAACAGATGAGATGTATTTTAGTAAGATGTTTATTGGTTAAAGGAATATATTTAGGCCTCCACATCCCTCCCTTAAAAAACTGATTCTGAGATGAACATTTGGCTGAGCATTATTTTTTAAAGATTTATTTTATTTATTTGAAAGACAGCGTTACAGAGAGAGGTAGAGACAGAGAGAGAGATCTTCCATCTGCTGGTTCACTCCCCAGATGGCTGCAACGGCCGGAGCTGTGCCGATCTGAAGCCAGGAGCCAGGAGCTTCTTCTGGGTCTCCCAGGCGGGTGCAGGGACCAAGGACGTAGCCTATCTTCTACTGCTTTCCCAGGCCACAGCAGAAAGCTGGATTGGAAGAGGAGCAGCTGGGACTAGAACTGGCGCCCATATGGGATGCTGGTGCTTCAGGCCAGGGCTTTAACCCAGTGCACTACAATGCCAGCCCCCTGAGCATTTTTTTTTTTTGAAGATTTATTTATTTATTTGAAAGGCAGAGTTACACAGAGAGAAGGAGAGACAGAGAGAGAGAGAGGTCTTCCATCTGCTGATTCACTCCCCAATTGGCTGCAACGGCCAGAGCTGTGCTGATCTGAAGCCAGGAGCTTCTTCCGGGTCTCCCATTGTTGGATGCAGGGGTCCGAGGACTTGGTCCATCTTCTACTGCTTTCCTAGGCCATAGCAGAGAGCTGGATGGAAGTAGAGCAGCTGGTACTTGAACCGGCACCTGTATGGGGTGCTAGCACTGCAGGCGGCGGCTTTACCTGCTATGCCACAGTGCCAGTCTGTTGAACTAGCATTTTTAAAAAGATTTATTTATTTATTTGAAGGTCAGAGTGGTAGAAAGAAAGAGGGACAGAAAGAAATCTTCCATCTACTGGTTCACTCCATAAATGGCTGCATCGGCCACGCCTGGACTAGGCTGAAGCCAGGGACCAGGAGCTTCATCTGGGACTCCTTTGTGGGAGGCAGGGGTCCAAGTACTTGGGCCAGCTTCTTTCTCAGGCACATTAGCAGGGAGGAGAAAAAAGAGAGAGAGAGGGAGTGAGGGAGTGGGGGGAGGTTTCATTTGCTGCTTCCCACTCCCCAAATGGCTTCACTAGCTGGGCTGGGCCAAGCCAAAGCCAGGAGCCAGGAAGTCCATCCTGGTCTCTCATGTGGGTGGCAGCGTCCTAAGCACTTGGATCCTCCTCTGAGGCTTTCCCAGGTGCATTGGCAGGGAGCTGGATCAGGCAGCCCTGGGACACGGGATGTTAGCACTGCAAGTGACTTCAGGCCCTGTGCCACAACGTGAGCCCTTGCAGAAGCCTTCGATCTGTAGCAGCAGAATACTGTGCTGTCATGCGCATTCCCCGTGACCTGCTCCAGCACAGCCCTGGGAGAGTGAACTGTGTAAGGATAAATTTCCCTGCTTGTGTCTTTTGTTTCCTTAAATTCTGTAATGAATGCTGTGATATTCTCACTCTTTAAGGTGAGTTGGTTTTCACATTAATTATTTTGTCTTATGCAAAATTTTAAGCATACTTTTTCCCCCCTCAAATAATTGATACTAGAATAAGACAGATCAAGCCCAAAACTTTAAGGAAAGCTACACTCTTTTCCTCCTTCATCCTCGACAGACGTTCTTTGAATACTATTGCCCATCCCCGTCCACTGTCGGAATGCCCTGTTTGGATCAAGTTTACCACATCCACAGCCCTCAGGCCTGCTAGATCCGCATGTTTTATTTGGTCCTGAAGCCTCTGCTTTCCCCATTGCAAGCTGCTCTGGGCAGAGGCCCTGTCTCTCTCTCTACTCCAGTCGTATTCCCGATGGCTGGCAGCTAGGAGTGGTATGGAGGCAGCAGATGCTCAATGTAAGTTGGTTGCAGACAGCAAATAAGCGAATGACTGGTTAACATAAAAAGTGGATTGGCTGGTTCTGACCTGCTTTCCTGAAGCCCATCATGACCTCCATGTTTTCTTCTGAAGCCATTTTTCAGATTTAGAGTTTTGTCCAGGATTGACGTTAAACTGAATGTGGCCCAAATTCCTCCAAACCTGAGTGGAAATGTCCTAGTAATGCTTATTGCTTTGCAGATTGTAGACTTGTTAATCGGTTCCCTTTTCCATTTAGGCTATTTTACCCTTCAATATTTATAAGGGCTCTCTCTCTCACAATTGTTGTATATTCCATTTTATAAAAGTAAATGCTTTCATTTCTTAAGCAAATCTTACTTAAAAAGTTAGCACAAACTTATAAAATGTTTTTGTCTTATATTAGTACTTTATTTTGAAGGTGAATAATAGTGTCCGGGATAATTCTGTTCCTACAGCTTTAATTTTTTCAAACCGCAAGAAGTCTGTAATTGCATCCTTCAAATAATTAACTAGCCTATTGATTTATGACATATTGGAGTTATACAAGAATGGTGTGATTATTAAGAAGTGTTATATAATTTAGTATATATGCCAATATCAGCTAATTAATAGTCTTTTACTAACACAGATATGGATATGTGTGTGCCACAAAAATTATGAAACTGAGGAAAATACTTGAAAAAGTTGAGGCTGCATCAGGATTTACCTCTGAAGAAAAAGGTGACTGTCTTTGTTTAAGGTTTATGCATTAAAAATACCTTGAAAGCATATTTGTATGCAAATTATTAGCTGACATGTGTGTCTTTTATTTTAAATTAGAAATTGATTCCTAAGTAATGTATAATTTTCTCCCCTTTTAAAATCAATTCTTGCCTCTTCTAAAAGTGATGAATAATGAACCCCTTAAAGAAGGGGCTAGTTTCTAATACGTGAGTGAGTAGACATAGCTCTGTCTGTAGCAGTGATTCTCTGAGCTGCTGCTCTCTCAGCAATGAAAGCATTTACATTTTCCTACTTACTTTTTCTTATTATAGAAGGAGAATTAAAAAGGCTAACGAGGATAAAGTTTATGCCCAGAGATCAGCGTTTTAATCTCTTCATGGCTTTACTCAGAGATTCAGCTCCTGGCTTTGAACTTGTTAGGAACCTTCTATACCAGCTGTACTGCTTACAGGCTGCATGATTATTTAAATAGAAAGGAAAACAAGGCATAGTACAGATTTTATTCTATATACCCTAAGCCCCCCCAGAGAAATTAAATTATTTTACTATATATAAATCATTATGCTCTTTGAAATGTGAAAAAATGATAATAAAATTGAGGCAATATTTCATTTTTTAGTTTTATTTTTATCATGTTTTTCTGAAAAAGTTCTTTATATCATAGCCTTTAGATGTCCCTTGTATTTCTCCTTTGTCAGGAAAACTTGAAAAGTATGCTTTTAACTGAAAGAATATTTAAGTGAATGGAGCAGAATTTGATATATGAACATGACTTATGAATTTGAAAATTGAATGTGATTTAAAAATTTTACGTGTGACTTATTTGATTTTTTAATTTTCTCCTAGATCCTGAAGAATTCTTAAATATCCTATTTCATCATATTTTAAGGGTAGAACCACTGTTAAAAATAAGGTAACTTTTAGATTGTTACAGAAGCATTGAAAAAAAAAAAAAAGACAGTCTTTGTTTCCAGGGCCATCAGTCAGCAGATGTGCTTTCCTTAGTGGTTATTTACCATTGTATTGGTTTAGGACTGCATGTGTCCTATAAATGCAATGATAAATGCAAAATTATATTAATCATTATGTGCTACAGAGTGCCTCCTTAACTTGAATAAGTCCAATGTAAATTTGTACTTTTAATTTTAACCCTAGTTATAAATATTGCAATTCATTTTCAAATGAAATTGTGTATATATGTAATTTAAATTAATAGGCCCTTTAAGAGAATCTCATTCTAATCTAATCACTATGAGAGCATTGTTTTTTGCCTACCTATCATTCAGAGAATTAATTGAGCCTTAAATTAGCTCTTTTGTTCTCAGCTCTAGAACTCAATCTTTTTTCCCCATGTGTTGAATAAAAACCTTGAGTTTAATGCAGTCATGTTCTTAGTGAGATGTTCTTTTATTTTTTAAAGATTTATTTATTTGAAAGACAAATTAGAGAGAGAGAGAGAGAGGTTTTCCATCCACTGGTTCACTCCCCAAATGGCTGCAATGAGAGAGAGAGAGAGAGAGGTTTTCCATCCACTGGTTCACTCCCCAAATGGCTGCAATGCTGGAGTTGGGCTGATCCGAAGCCAGGAGCCAGGAGCTTCTCTGGGTCTCCCATGCTGGTGCAGGGGCCCAAGGACCTGGGCCATCTTCTATTGCTTTCCCAGGCCACAGCAGAGGGCTAGAAAGGAAGTGGAGCAGCTGGGACGACTCCAACTGGCGCCCATATGGGATGCTGGTACTGCAGGCTGGGCTTTACCCTCTATGCCACAGCGCCGGCCCCTAAATGTGGTTGCACTTTCCATTTAGTGTGAATGTTCACAGTCAAAATGGTGAACCTTTTTGCATTTTGGTCTGGGTTTCTCTGCTGAGAATCTTGGTAATATACTTTTACTTCCCAGAAAGCTAATTATAGACAAGTACTCTTGCCTACTTCTGTCTTAGGTGATGTTGCTTATGTCGTTGTTGACTTGGTGAGTGAGAAGAAGGAAGTGGGGCCAGTGCCACATTATAGTTTCACATTGTTTGGGAAGTTTTAACAGATTAAGTCGTATAGGACACACAAACATCCAGGAGTATGTATGTATGTATTTATATTTATTTGAGAGGCAAAGAAATAGAAACCGATAGAGAACACACCCATCTGCTGGTTCACTCCTGAAATGGCCACAGTGGCTGGGAGCTGGGAACTCGAAGTCTCAGACATGGGTGCTGGAGTCGTCAGCAGTGCACACCAGAGCCTGCGTTAACAGGATGCTGGAGTCAGGCTGCAGAGGGGTGCGGGGCCCAGGTGCTCTTGATGCGGGCCACGGACGTATTAACCAGCTTCTTAGCCACCAGGCCAAGCACCCTCCCCATGGAGTGTGTATGTATTACCTGTTCAAAGATAGCAATAGCCATCTGTGTCCCTAGAAACATCCTGGAATTGTATAGAAACTATTAGAAGTAAGAGAAATGTTCGTAATTTGGCTATGGGAAAAAATAATCATGGAAAAATCAATAGCATTTCTATATATACTTTTAAGCAGATTGTAAAAAAGAGTAATTTCATACCACATGAAAATAGAAAATACTAAGAAATTCATTTTTCTGAGGTAGATTTTTAAGACATCTTAAACAGAGCTAAAAGATGTTTTGATTAGTTAAAACGATTGTGTCCTAGGTAGTAAGATTAAATACTTCAAAGATGTTATTTTTTTGCAGAATAGTTTGCATGTAAGCATTTAGATCTGAAATGATTTTTAGAATCCTCTACAAAATGAGTTGGGTGAAATTATTAAAGAATTTTTAAAAATAGTTCTATCATAAGCTATAGCAACAAAGAAATATACTTTAGAATGTGATACGGTACAAAATTAGAAATATGAGCCAGTGCCGCGGCTCACTAGGCTAATCCTCCGCCTTGCAGCGCCAGCACACCGGGTTCTAGTCCCAGTCGGGGCGCTGGATTCTGTCCCAGTTGCCCCTCTTCCAGGCCAGCTCTCTGCTGTGGCCAGGGAGTGCAGTGGAGGATGGCCCAAGTACTTGGGCCCTGCACCCCATGGGAGACCAGGATAAGTACCTGGCTCACCTGGCTCCTGCCATCGGATTAGCGCGGTGTGCCGGCTGCAGCGTGCCAGCCATTGGAGGGTGAACCGACGGCAAAAGGAAGACCTTTCTCTCTGTCTCTTTCTCTCACTGTCCACTGTGGGGAGCAATCCGGACTAGACTGAGTTACTGGAATTAAGACTTATTCTATGCATCTGCTCTCCCACAATATGGCGCTGGGAGAGAAGTAAACAGCTTCTGCACAGCTGCCTCCAGTTCAGCTAATAAACTGTAGGACTTGCTCCTGACTGGAGGAGAGCAGCGTACTCGGCGTGTGGGCAGCCGAGTTAGGATTGGCGGAGGAGGATTATAAAGGAGGAGAGAGACGGCATGCACCAGGAACATCTATGGGGAACATCTAAGGGGAACACCTGGGGAACACCTGTGCAGCCCCCAAGAGAGCCGGCCGGCGGTGTGCCGCTCCCCTGCGGAAGTGGGGAATGTGGCCAGGGGGAACTGCCCTTCCACGGAGGTGGAAGGGATAGTAGCCAACCCGGGAAGGACCAGCAGCAAACCCGGGGAGGGCCGAGCAGACAGAAAGAACAGCGCAGGGTCCTGTGTCGCTCCTCCACGAAAACGGGGAGCGACAGTCCACTCTACCTGTCAAAAAAAAAAAAAAAAAAAGAAAAGAAATATGGATAAATGGAACTGAACAGAAAGCTCTGAAGTAGAATTAGCTGTATGTAGTATTTCAGTATCTTGTAAGTCAGCCTCCAAACACAAGTCAAGAAGGAAAGATGTGTTAATGGATGAGGTAGGAAATCTAGCAGGCACTTTGGGAGAAAAAAAAGTTAATTTTGTTTCTCCTCTTAGAGAGATAAATTCCAGGTGCTTTAAACTGTTGTTTCCATCCTGGCTTTTTCCTAGCCAACTACCTAATGGATGTAATGCACTCCCAGTAATAACCTAGGTCGAACACCGCGCTGAGTCCCAGTGTGGGTTCGGAGGGACCACTTCTGAGTCTGAAAGCCTTGTGAAGTTGAAGGACCCTGGGAAGTTCTTTATCCCCTGAGGGCTATGCATCCCTTCAGACCCCAAATCCACCTCTTTATATTGAGAATTACCACTGAAGATCATGAAATAGGGGTGGGCTTTTGGCATAGAGGTGAAGACACTGCTTGGGATGCCCACATCACATATCGAGTACCTGGATTTGAGTCCTGGCTCCCTTCCTGGATCCCGCCTCCTTCTAATGTGCACCCTGGGAAGCAGCAGGTGATGGCTCAATTAATTAGACCCTTGCCACACACATCAGAGACCCAGATTGAATTCTGGGCTCCTGGCTTTGGCCTGGCCCAACCCTGGCTGTTGCAGGCATCTGGGGAGTGAACCAGCAGATGAGTGAACTCTGCCTCTCTGCCTTTCAAATAAATAATTTTTTTAAAAAAATTGTACAGTGGTATTTTGAGTTGGCCAGTTTTTTTCAGGTGTCTGTTCTCCCCTCAATTAACCTTTCTTCCTGACTGGGGGAGAGTCAGCTGATGCAACAGATAGGAAGATGAATACCTTAAAAATCTGAAGCAATCTCAAAAGAAACTGTTAGATGGGTATTATTAAATGATAGAAGAGACAGAAGCAGGACTGGATACCAGTAGAAGATGAAAGCAGATTTGATAATAAGCTAAATCAAACAAGCAAGATTAGAATTTTCAGAAATGGAAAATATGCCCTGGGTAGGAGGGTGTGCCTTACTGGATACGCACAGCTGGAGAGAGAATTGCTCATTTGGAAGGTGGAGCTTAATAAAGTACCCGGGATGCAACCCAGAGGGATAAAGAATGGGAGACAAGAAAGAGGCTGAGACGTAGAAGGAGACCTTCGAGAGACTAGGGAAGAAGCTATGTTTCAAGCGATAATAGCTGAAGAATATTCAGAATTCTCGACAGACTTACATTCTAAGAATAATGCTGCACAAAATTCCTGAGCTGGAAGAACGAGTACAGAATTACCACTCAGAGACTTATAACAGGGTGTACTTCAGTAAGACAAAGCTGAATTTAGAATAAAGGAGTAGGATGCAAGAAACCAGGAAGAATCAAGAAATTGGGAAACTTGGGTATTTTAAGCCTTCTCATTTGAAAACCAATAATATGGGTGGTAATAAAAGTGACTATTTGTGTGTGCAGTGTTAAAGACAAGGTGATACTAAAGTGAGAACCACTCACCAAAAAGGGTGGTGATTGGAGGCAAAGTCTTCCAGGAAAATGGATACCTCAGCACCAAGAGGCGAAATGGGGCGTGTCCGATTGTGTTACTGAGTGCGCACTGTAGGACATGGTCTGAATGTCCTCACTACGTGGCTATTTCATGTCTGCATTATAGTCCACATTCTGGATGGCCCAGAATCCGGAAAGAATGTTAGTGGGTACTAATTATTGTCACAAAGAAATATAGACCAAAATTGTACAAATCCATGAATGTTTTTGTCATCTCTGTAGATGTCCATCCTTCTGCCCCAGTAGAAGATGTCCATCCAAATTGCACACTGTTCTTGTCCAGTAGCCCTTCCAAAACTTTGCTCATGAGGTCTGTGTAGTGGCTGTCCACCTCCCCAGCACTCTGCCCCAGTGTCACAACGCTGTTTGTCTGTCACATCCTCACTTCTGTTTCTGTGTCCCCCACCCGCTCCTGCCATCCTTGTAATTTCTACTTGTAACTACTCACTTCTACTCCTTTCTGCTTTGTTAGTCTTATTTGGTTCTTGTTAATTTTCTGTTGTTAAAATTTTTCTGCTTTTTGGCTTCCCAGAAAAATTCTGGCCTTTTGTAGTCATCAGCCTTTTGGTTGTCATCTGTTTTTATTTGTGTCAGCTCTCAAAAATCTCCTGCTTTGTTCCCAAAACGTTGTGTTTATTTTGGATAGTAAGTTGCCTTTGGAAGCTGGTCTCTGGATTTCTGAGATTTTGTTGTCAAATGATGTCACTATTCCCCCCCACCCCAATCTTGAAATCTAGATATAAACATTCTGAATCTATATTCAGAATGTACTCGGCTAAAAAGGTAAACAGTGAACTTAAAGCTTAATTATCCTTTTGGTAGAATTAGTCTGAAAGATGAGTGGCATTCAGCAGTAAAATATTTAGAAGGAAAATGCTCAATATAAGGGTGGCACTGTGGCCTATAGTAGGTTCTTTCTTGATATTTGTTGAATGAGTGAGTGGCCGTGGAAAGAGCGCACATTCTGTGGCAGAGAGGATAGAGCATGGCTGTCGGGATCCGTGGGCTGTCCACCCAGCTTGGCTTGGGCTCCTGGGAAGTCATGATCCTTCCCTAGGGCTCAGGGCCTCTGGTTTAGAACTGCAGAGTTTGTCTAGCAGTTTGTCTAAGGATGTCATATTCGGGCATGGGAGAATTTATTTCCCTGATTTTCAAGCATTAAATGCAAGTTACTGATTTCTAGATATGGACAGTGAGGTTGAACTAAGTGAATTTAGCTTCTGGTTGTTATTGTTCATGCAGTGCTTCTTTATTGGGCCTTACTAAAGGCCTTCAAAAAGTTTATGGAAACTTCAGGTATCTTTTAATTCCATTTTCTCATGAACTTTTTGAAGCTTCCTTATATTCCATTACTCTGATCACTAAGATAATTTTTCAGTATGGAAACGAAAATAGGAAATTATTTATAAGGTTGTGTGCATAATGTCTTATGAATACATTTAAAGTACAGTTACTTATTTCATGTAAATCATTCTTTTCCCTCCATTGAGGGAAAGACACTCTATCAATTGCATGGCTTTGCTGTTCTCAGACACTGCTAGAACAAATTCACATTTCAATTTAATAAATGAGTTATATGTGTTTTTTTTTTTTTCCTGCATGGTTTTAGATCGGCAGGTCAAAAAGTACAAGATTGCTACTTCTATCAAATTTTTATGGAAAAAAATGAGAAGGTTGGAGTCCCTACAATTCAGCAGCTGTTAGAATGGTCTTTCATCAACAGTAACCTGAAGTTTGCAGAGGTTGGTGGTGCTTGTTCATTGTATTTTATGTGAAAGTCCTTAGGATTCTTACTACCACTGGTAGGTTCAATAGCTATTGATTTTAGCCAGCTGAGAACAGTTTGAAACATAAACTGTTAAGAAAACACACAATTTTAAAAATGTACAATGTTTCAACTGTGTCCTTACAGAAAATGCCTTAGAATCAAGATTGAACTATTTGGATTTTTGGTGCCAAAGAAAACACAAAGCCAATTTGTAACTTGAATAAGTTTTAAATAGTTTAAAGCAAATAGGAAGATTTATATTTTTTTAAATAATGTTACCCAAGTTTATATTATCCAAATATATCAAAAGAGAATATTTATTTTTCCCCTTCCTTAAGAAACTAATTATCAAAAAATTAATTTCTATTGGTTTGTTTATGAACAGACAATAAATTATTTTTCTTTTGAAGTCTACTGATTCTGTTTTAGTACCTTCATGATTTTAAGGTATAGACTTAGTGATTTATTTTTATTGTTTGTTTTATTCATTTCTGAGGAGATATCTCAGGGAACGTTTGTTACTCACTTGTTAGAACATAACAAATCAGAGTCCTTCTGTGATGGTGGTTTTGTTTTTGTATTTGCAAGGACGATTTTTACAAAACTTTTATGAAGTATTTATATAAACTCATCATGAAAACCAGCCATTCTATTATTGGTTTCTGTGAGTGACGTGCTCCCTGGCTCACTGGAGACCTGTGACTTGCTGGCGTCCGTGTCCACATGAACATTCCATGTTCACTGTGGGTCCTTTTGGACAGGCTGCCCCCGTATCCCTGAAAATCACCGCTCGGCCAGACAGCCATGACTGTCTCAGTTTCATAAGAAAAACTTCTGAGCACTGTGGTTCTAAAAGTCTGTACCTTCGTTTTAGGCACCATCATGTCTGATTATTCAGATGCCTCGGTTTGGAAAAGACTTTAAACTATTTAAAAAAATTTTTCCTTCTCTGGAATTAAATATAACGGATTTACTTGAAGACAGTAAGTATACAATTTTTCAGTTTTTTTGTTTATTTGTATAAAGAAATAGTCTGTCACATTGTATGCATCAGGTGTAAGTAAGAGCAACTGGAGAGATGCCTGTTTTCTTGATTTATTTTTAATTACTACAGTGACTGTGCATATGTAAGGGACCCAGTAGGTCTGCAAGGCAGTTCTGTGTCTGAAGAACTGGAAGCATTAAGTCAGTAATTTTAATTCTGGGAATTTAGTCTTAGAAAATGTTCAGCTATGGAAAGAAGTACATGATTAAAAAATTAGAAACAACATGAACATTAATAAGATGGGACTAGTTAAATTAGTTGTGTGTCTCTGTAATGAAACTGTTGCCAATAAAATTTATGTTTATGAAATCCAGTGTATGAAAATGATGATTTAACTTTAAATGAAAAGGTAAGTACCAGAGGACTCTAATATGTGTATACATATGCATAATTATGTAAATTTTCAGTTCTAAAACCATTAGACAAATTTCACAATCATTGACAGTGGTTATCTTCTGCTAACTGAAATTGTAGATGCTTTCAGTTTCTTCTTTGTACTGTTTTATATCTTCGAATTTTTATGAATGAGAATTTTTTAATCAGAGGGTGAAATGCTCTAGAATATGTTAGTTTAAAAGAATTGTTATCTGGTCACAGAAAATGTCTCTAAAGATAATCTGAATCTAAAAAAACTTCAACTTGAAGTTTATGAGGCTGGAGGAGGGATAGTCTGTCCTGAAGCCACTCTTGTTACCCTTAAAGCATAAGTTTTCGGGGTGGGTGTTTGGCCTCGTGGGTGACGCCTGCTGGGTTCAGTACTGCCCCTGGCTCCTGACTCCAGCGTCCTGGGAAGCAGCAGTGATGACTCGGTAAGTGGGTTGCTGCCACCCGTGTGGTGGACCTGGATTGAGATCCTGGCTCCTACTTGGGCCTCAGCCCGGCCTTGGCCATTGTGGTCATTTAGGGAGTGAACCAGCAGGAGGTAGCTGTTTCTGAGTCTCTGCCTTTCAAATAATAATAATAATGATAAAACATAACTTTTAAATCTTGTAATGAAAGAATGTGTTTTTAATAGGCTCCTTAACTGCTCTCCTTCCACTACCGTTTCAGCTCCCAGGCAGTGCCGAATCTGTGGGGGACTTGCAATGTATGAGTGTAGAGAATGCTATGACGACCCGGACATCTCGGCTGGGAAAATCAAGCAGTTTTGTAAAACCTGCAACACCCAGGTGGGTTTGCCTTCACTTAAAGGAGGGCCTCTGGTTGAATGCTAAGTTGTTTGTAGTTCATGGCAGATTTCACGTTTTTGAACTCTTTTAAAATTGAAAATTGTAATGAACTTTTTAAAAATCCACAATAAAATACTCTTTCCATACCCCGTCTGACTGTTGAGTTGGTAGGGTCTGTGAGATGCTTAGTAGTTAGTTGCAGTTTATGAGGGAGGTAGTAGGTAGGAGGAAGTGGAGTTGTTCACGTGAAACCCCAAGTTTAGCTCATTCCTGACATTCTCGTCTCATCCACTTTAGGTCCACCTTCATCCCAAGAGGCTGAACCATAAATACAACCCAGTGTCGCTCCCCAAAGATTTACCGGACTGGGACTGGAGGCACGGCTGCATCCCCTGCCAGAAGATGGAGTTGTTTGCTGTCCTCTGCATAGAAACCAGCCATTACGTTGCTTTTGTGAAGTACGGCAAGGATGACTCGGCCTGGCTCTTCTTCGACAGCATGGCTGATCGCGATGGTACGCGGAGGCCTGCTCTGCACGCGGCCACCTTTGTGTACAGTGCAGTGGCCACCTCCAGGGACGAGACAGTGAGAACATCCACTCAGAAGTATCCTGGTGACAGTGTCAGATCTTGAAAGTGCACAAAGTAACCCAAATGCAGTCCCAGACTAAGGAATAGTATTGTGATGTTTAGACATGCACACACACGCACGCATGCACGCACAAACCAAATGCATTCCCAGACTAAGGAATAGTAATGTGATGTTTAGACACACACACACACACACACACGCATGCACACACGCACACACGCACACACACACTTGTGTAAAGGATCCCGACATTCTTATTTTGGGGCTGAGGGATTTTACTTTCAGGCTCTTGTCAGTCTTGCGTGAACCACAACAGCACGTACATGCCGGGCTCTCAGAGTCATTCTGCCTATGTCCTGGCGAGATGGGGTTATCCTGGTGCTTCCCTTGTTAAAGCTGAGGTTGTGAGACGGGTATCTGGTGTGAGTGTAGGCTGCTACTTGGGATGCCGCCATCCCATGTCGAGTGCCTGGTTCAGGTCTCAGCTCCACTCCTGAGTCCAGCTTCCCGCTTGTGCAGACCTTGGATGTGTGATGGCTCAAGCAGCTGGGGCCTTGCCACCTATGTGGGAGGCCTGGGCTGGGTTCCTGGCTCCCAGCTTTGTAAGGCCCAGTCCTGGCTGCTGTGGGCATTTGGGAAGCAAACGAGCAGATGGGAGCTTTCAGTCTCTGTCTCTGCCAGCCCCCCATTTCTCTCTCTCTGCCTTTCATATAAAAATAATTTTTTTAATAAAATTATTTTATTTATTTGAAACACAGAGTTACAGAGAGAGGTAGAGCCAGAAAGAGAGAGAGAGAGGTCTTCCATCCACTGGTTCACTCCCCAAATGACTGCAACAGCCAGAGCTGAGCTGATCCAAAGCCAGGAGCTTCCTCCGGGTCTCCCACGCTAGTGCAGGGACCCAAGCACTTGGGCCATCTTCTACTGCTTTCCCAGGCCATAGCAGAGAGCTGGATCAGAAGTGGAGCAGCTGGGACTCAAACTGGCGTCCATATGGGATGCCAGCGCTGCAGGCTGGGGCTTTAACCCACTGTGCCACAGCACCAGCCCCATAAAAATAATGAATTTTTAAAAATCTAAAAAAGAAAGCTGAGATTGAAGGTGTCTAAGGTTATGCAGTTGATATTCAGCTCTGTCTTTGCAATCCTGGTGCCTACGTTTTATACAAAACTGTGTTGTCTTCCAAATGACAAAAGCTAAGAACAGAAGGAAACATCCTCTTTGGGAAACTAAGCCTGTTTTGCATTTAGTGTGTTTCTTCCTGAGGTGGGGAATGTAGTAGTGCACTTTATAGGCCGTTTTCTAGGATGCTTGGTCATTATTTAATGAATGCTGAATAAGCACCAGGGCTCCAGTGGACTGTAGGAATGACATGGTTGTCCGAACAGCTACACCTCTGCCTCTCTGGAGTTCTCAGGTTCTGACCAGCTGTAGGCCAGGTCTTAACTTCCCGTTCTCTTCTTCTAACGCCCGTTTTTCCTTTAGCCACTTCCTCTAGTCCCAGCTTCCAGAGTCTTCTGCTCTGGGCCTCTGAGCACCTGAGATAGTGGTGACCTCTTGAGCAGAGGCCTGTACACTCGACCTAGAACTCTCTGCTCTCATGAAGTTGCTGGGAGAGCTACACCACCAGGGCCTTTCCTGGAATCCCTAAGACCACCCACTAGAGCGTCATCATAATCTGTTGAGATCTACAACACACTGGGCTTGAGGTGTGCACATGCTTTTAAAAGGGAGATATCGAGGCTGAGGTTGTGGGGCAGTGGGTTAAGCTGCTGCCTGCAATACCAGAATCCCATATGGGAGCTGGTTTAAGTCCTGGCTGCTCCATTTCCAATCCAGCTCCCTGCTAATGAGCCTGGGAAAAGTAGCAGAATATGGCCCACATGCTTGGGCCCCTGTACCCATATGGGAGACCCAATTGAAGCTCCTGACTTGGGCCTGGCCCAGCCTTGACTGTTGCAGCCATTTAGGGAGTGAACCAACAGATAGAAGATTCTTTCTCTCTCAGTCTCTCCCTCTCTCCCTGTAACTCTGACTTTCAAATAAAAATAAACAAATACATCTTTTTTAAAAAGGAAGGAAAATATAATAGTGTTCACTTGAAAATTTATTTTTTCATTACTATTTATTTGAGAGACAGATACATATAGAGAGATCTCGCATCTGCTGGTTTACTCCCTAAATGGCCATAGCAGTCAGGGCTGGGCCAGGCCACAGCTGGGAGCCAGGAGCTCAGTCTAGGTCTCCCGCGACAGGGAAGCAATCACTTGAGCCATCTCCACTGCCTGCCAGGGTCCATACTGGCCGGAAGCCAGCGTCAGGAGCTGGGAGTTGAACCCAGGCACTCTGAGGTGGGATGCACATGTCTTCACTGTTGGGCTAAGCAGCGTATTTCCATATGGCATTATTCCCTAAGTGAGTGTACAGACGCCTGGTCCGAGGTTTTGGGGCTTCATTCAGGATGTGTTTTCTTTTACAAGTTTTGTTCACTGTTGGTTCCAGAATCCTACAAGGAACCAAGAAGTGAGAAGTTAAAATGAAGTGTCTTTGGGGTCCTGAAAGTGAGCCTGCACTCAGTTACAGGACAGGGGCGTGGGTTTGGTGGGGCAGGACAGTTGGAGGGCACAGAACTTTGCCACCCTAAGAGTCCTTCGTCTTTGTTCCAGGGGGTCAGAATGGCTTCAACATTCCTCAGGTCACCCCCTGCCCGGAAGTCGGAGAATACTTGAAGATGTCTCTGGAGGACCTGCATTCCTTGGACTCGAGAAGAATCCAGGGCTGTGCGCGAAGGCTTCTGTGTGACGCCTACATGTGCATGTACCAGAGTCCCACCATGAGCCTGTACAAGTGACTGCCCAGGGGAAGACCCCGAGCACACGCTGCACGCCGCATCTGCCCGGAGCTGGCCCTTGTGCTGAGCGTCCATTGCCGGCAATGGATGTCCGCGTGGTGGTGACCCCTCCGAACGGGATTCCTGCGTTCCAAAACACATTGCTTTTGTGTTACTGAAGTATTTAATAAGAAGCATTTTGCACTCTAGAAAGTATGTTTGTGTTGGTTTTTTAAGAAGTCTAAATGAAGTTATTAATACCTGAAGCTTTAAGTTAAGTGCATTGATCATATGATATTTTTGGAAGCATACAATTTTAATTGTGACAGTTTCCAACCTCTTTAGTCCATTGAGAATGTAAATAAATGTGTCTTCTTTATGGACCAACAATATGAAATCATTTTTCCTTTGCAGCTAACGGTTGCCTGGAGGGAGAAATAATTTGATTTTATTCAGAGTCTAACTTTCAGTCAAATTATTCACGATGTGCTGAGTTTGATTTGTTAATTCTTTCCTAGATAGTGCTGGCCCCTGCATGTCTGCAGCCTGCTGACTTTCTGTGTTTCTGCAATTGTGGTCAGGAAATACTTAGATTCCCCTCCTGGTGTGCTGTGTTCTCTTTGTCCTGGTTTTGAGATAAGTGAGTGCTTCTGTCCTAACATGTCCCTTTCTGATGTAACTTTCCTGGAGGATGGGGGTGCGTGGCAGGTGGAGTTCTTGGGTCCGTGCGTGTGTGCGGTGACTGGCTGCTCTCAGCGTTTCTGATTTCAAGGCTCCATGTCAGGCAGTTGGGCTCAGCACCCCTTATGAAAAGACTGGAGCAATAAGCAAATATTATGTTCCTAAACAAATAGTCCATAACAATTAATTCGGTGTATAGAGTGACGTATTAAGATTTTCCTGAAAGATGTGCTGGATTTTTGAAACCTGTGCAGAACTGAAGTTGGGTCAGCTGGCCACTACCTTTACTAGAATCAGTTTGGATTCATCTGAGATCATGACCCTTAAGAATCGGATATTTTATTGAAATGCTGGTAGCAGCTTCATCCTCCTTCATATTAATCGAGTAGAAAATGATCGCTTCCCTCGTGTGTGCGTAGGGCGTGGAGCAGAACCGTAGACTATCAGTGTCAGTGCTGTGCGATGTTGATTCTCTGGGTGTTGTTTTGTGCTGTTGTCGTCTTTCTGGACTGAATTCCTGAACTTGCAGAAAGACAGATAAAGTGTCATGTGCACCTGGCATACGACTTCCTGAAATCGGGAATGTCAACAAAGGCGGAAAGAATCTTCACGAACCCTGCAATTAGTGTTTTAGAGGTACTTTTACTCTTTGGTTTTATCAGTCCATTTTACTAATATTTATTAGCTTATGAATCATAATGAGGTTCCAGAACTCACCTTGTGATTTTTCCAGTTTTACAGTGTAAAAGTGCATACAGTTCACAAGGGTTTGTGCTGTGACGTGCTTCGGTTGGGGTGGTGAGGGGATAATGGGACGGGGGTTGAGGCTGAGGAACCGTCTGGAAGTCCGCATGTAATATATATTGAATAAAGCACAGGCTGAGTGAGTCCTCAATGTGATTTTAAGAGATTGGAGGAATGAGTAGGAGTCTAAGTACAGGTTTAACATTAGAGGGAGGAAGAGACAGCTCTCCTTCTTTCCAGAAATGGCAACAGGACAGCCTGAGGCCGCCCTGCCCTTCCCGGAGACTTGAACCGACTGTGCGGGTGTGTGCGTGGTTTCCGAGGTCCGTCACAACTTCTGATGCCATTGCAGGTGGGGCTTTCTGCCCTGACTTTACTGGGGGCAGAGAGCACTCAGTGGAGGGTGCCAAGGGCCAGCTCTGGGACTTCCTTCCCTTGCTCCTGAGTGCCACAGGCCAGCCAGGAACCTCCTCACCCCAGCTGGCCCTCCCAGACCCCTCTGGGTGGCCCCCACTGTTCCTGCAGAGCCTCGTTTGTCAGGTGGGGCGTTGTCAGGCCCAGGCTGCGTGGCACAGGTGGACACTGTCCCTGCCAGTTGATTTCTTTTTCGGCCTTAAATTTTCTTTAGTATTTTCCTGTTGGGTTTTTAAATGTTTTGGTTATTTTTTTCTCCTTATATCTAGAATCAAGATGACAGTATAGTAGAATTATCTTATTTATATCTTGGTTCATGATTCATAGCTACAAATGGATAATATCACAAGACATGTTTCCCCTGCTCCATACACGTGTGTATGTGTTTATATATATATAGATATATGGGGAGAGAGAGAGAGAGAGAGAGAGAGAGAGAGGAAAAACCACGTTGTACTGTAGAGACTAGATATGTCCAGTTCCTCACTATCAGCTTTATAAAGGAGTTTGACCCACCCATAAAAGAATGTTTTATAAGACTGGGAAAACATGTTGAAAACCAAGACAAACAGTAATCGGTATAGTTTGTTACAGTTGTTAAGGTTTTCTTCTGAGAATAGTTGAGGATTTTTATAGTTTCTATTTGCCAAATGTTATAGGTAAAAGGCCAGGTTCTTCCTGTTCCTCCTTTTTTTTTTTTCCATGTAATTTGAGAACAAGGAGGGAGAGTTTAATAACTGATATAACGCCACCCCAATACCTGGTTTATTGTCATAAACTCAGGCACTTCCCGACCCTTTGTGGGAGCTCAGTGTCCAGATAGATAATTTTGCATCTACGTGGATGATCATGGGTGGAGATGTGAGGGGAGAATACAGTATCCGTCCTCAGCTGAGTGGCGCCAGCCAACGATGTCCACTGTGTGTGTGCTGGGTGCCTAGGAGTGTGTCGGGGGGACAGGAGACACGGCCTCTGCCCTCACTCAACAGCAGGACACTGACCCCTTGCTTTACTGGAGTGTGGCGGCAGCAGGTCTGGAGGAAGCTGTGGGAGGCCGTGGAGCTGACAGAACAGTGGGGGCTGGGGAGCCCGAGACCTGGGTCTGGCCCTGTGTCTGTCTCCTGTTCTGCAGCCTTAGGCAGCATCTTGACTTCCTGGGCTTTCCTTTCCTCCTCTGTGTAACAAGGGAGTTGGACTATTGAACTGAATAGAGGGAAGAATGCGAATTCCTGGGCCTCCATCCTTGGCTGGTGAATCTAACTGTTCCTGCAGGCACCTGGGGACTGTTAGTGCAAAGCTCACTTAATGTGAAAGGCAGAGAGAGAGAGAATGAATCTTCTATCTGCTGGTTTACTCCCCAAATGGCCACAGTGGCCAGAGCTGTGCCTATCTGAAACCAGGAGCCAGGAGCTTCTTCCAGGTCTCCCACACGGGTGCAGGGGCTCAAGCACTTGGGCCATCTTCTTCTGCTTTCCCAGGCCATAGCAGAGAGCTGGTTTGGAAGTGGAACAGCCAGGACTTGAACCAGCACCCATATGGGATGCCAGCGCTGCAGGTGGCGGCTTATCCGCACAACTCTGGCCCCATGTTATTGTGTTAATCATTCCACATAACTGGGCGATTGGCTGGTTCTCACATTGTTTATCTGTGTGCACGTGTGGATTTATGTGGGAGATGCATCTTAGTAAATAGACCTGAGCCTGCTGCTCCGTAGCAGTGTCTGGAGCACAGGTACATCCTAAGAGGATATTTATTTGAACACTTTTCTTCCAATTTGATTTCATTAGGGGAAATTGAGGCTGTAGGAGCCAAATAAATAGAAAAAATTCTCATGCAAAGTTAAAGGGAAAATATCCCATAATTGTCATTTGCTACTTTACGATGAAAATTTAAAAATGATATGGGAGAATTTTCCTCTGGGGTGGCAGGCTTCTCATCATAAAGGGTATCCTTGGGAAAGTCACCAGTCCAGTGGTGTGCTATGAAAAAGAAGGGCTTGTTCTCTTGGGGTTGGTGACATGAACAATGCATCCACAACTCTCTCATTTATTTATTTTTTTTTAAGATTTATTTATTCCTTTGAAAGAGTCACAGAGAGGCAGAGAGAGACGAAGAGGTCTTCCATCTGCTCGCTCATTCCCCCAATGGCTGGAGCCAGGAGCTTCCTCTGGGTCTCCCGTGTGGGTGTAGGGGCCCAAGGACTTGGGCTATCTTTCATTGTCTTCCCAGGCCATAGCAGAGAGCTGGATGGGAAGTGGAGCAGCTGAGACTTGAACTGGCGCCCATATGGGATGCCAGCACTGCAGGTGGAGGCTTTACTTGCTATGCCACAGCGCCAGCCCCCATAACTCTCTTATGATGATTATTTTTGTTATGTATTTGAAAGGCAGTGTGACAGAGGTATAAGGGGTGGGGGTTTGGGATATAGGGAGAGAGACAGGGAGAGGTATCTTTCCTCTTCTGATTCACTCTCTAAAAGCCTGCAACAGCCACGGCTGGGCCAGGCCAAAGCCACAAGCCAGGCACTCCACTTGGGTCTTCCACATGGTTGGCAGGAACCCAAGGACTTGGGCCGTTATCTGATGCCTCCCAGGAGCGTTCTCGGGGAGCTGGATTGGAAGTGGAGGTGGGACTTGATCCCAGGCACTTCCATACAACATGGGTGTCCCAAACAGTGGCTTGACCTGTTGCATCACAGTGCCCCCACACCAAGTTCTCCCTCGATGCAAAGAATACTTGAGTTCTCCAAAGCAAGTAGTGCGTGGAAGAGAAGAGGGGACGTTAAAATGGAAACTAGTGTGCAAGAGAGGCTGGGGGAACAAAGGTGTGAGCCGAGCCCACTCGTGCGGGTGTGCGTGGGGCCATGTGGACCAGGGTGCTCTTTCAGGCCCTTATACCGTGGTCCTGCGGGAGTGCGCGCTGGCCTTGTCTGTTCTCCTTTGAGACAGCTTTCTGGAGGAAGACTTCTCAGCTTACTCTAGACCCTGGAGCAGCTGAACGGTTTCTCTGGTGTCAGAAGGCAGTGGGACCGGTATCAACAGATGTGGCCGAGGACAGTGAGAAAGCGTCCTCTTTGAGTCCTAGTCAACAGCACTGTTGGTAGCCAGGCCGCTCCAGAACCCCGTGGCCCTTCCCAGCCCTCTGTCTTGGCAGTGAGGGTGATTCTGTGTCACCAGACTCTCATTGCTGGGCAACACAGAGGTCAGGGAGGAGGGCCAGCCCCGCGGCTTCCAGCCTAACCCTCCTGGACCCGGAACCCCGGCCGCTTCCACTGTGCAGGGATCCTGGAGTGCTTGTGCAGGAGGCTCAGCTGTTCTGGGTGGTATTTGATAAAAGGACCTGGTACTGAGGGCCCGGCATCACAGACATTTCTGTTAGGAGACAGCCACGTTGGCGACTTCCCAGGGAAGTCGAGCTGTATGGAGGAGCTCGGTGCAGAGGAGCGCATTTTGTACCGAGTTTCCCACTCCTGGTATCGCGGTCAACATTTAAAAATTTTTTTTTGCCTGAAGAGCATCCTGTATTTATGAAAACATTCTCAATACACCACAGAAAATATCCCTTTACTATCAGATTGCTCTGATTTAGCCTTAATTTTGTTAAATTTTTTAGAGATGAATGAAATGCTGCTGTGGAGAGAAATGTACTCTGTACTATTTCTTGTGTCATTAAAATGAGATTTTTATGGTTCCTTTTCCTCGATTTCTTTGGGGAAGGGGTTATGGGGAAGCCGGGGTTGGGTCTCTACAGCTTCGTGAGCGCAAGTGTTTGCTGTGGGAAACTGTCCCCAGGGCACCTGTGTCTTCATCAGTTCCCTGCCCTCCTTACAGTCGCTTCAGAAAACCTCACACCAGTGTCTCGGCTCAGGCGGGCGTCCATGGCACCCCGTGGTTCTGCGTGGTTTCGCCATGGAGCTTGGGGTTTCCCAGTGAAGCTGCGCTGCTCCCCCAGTGTCTCAGCTGCGCCCACAGGAAGCTGCTCCTGTCTGCCTCCCGTGGCCAGCTGGAAGCCTGGCACAGAGCCGTGCGTGTGCTGCAGGGCAGTGGGTCCTGGCGCCACCAGCGCGTTGCGTCTCCGTGACTGCGTGCACTGACATGCGTCCTATTCTCTCAGGTCTCAGGTAGGACAAACGCTCCCCAGAAGCAACGTGGCGTTCCAGGTAGCACAGCTGGGATGGTCTGAGCTGCTGAAACTGGTAGTAATAATACATTCAAGAATGTATCCAAAAAATCCACCAAACCCACAGCTGAGTGAGCTCGTGGAGAGCCACGAGTGCCGTTTGCACGCCAGTCGGGTTGTCCTTGCAGGTTCGAGGGGAGCTTGCCTGGGTTTCCTGATTGCTCTGGGCCTACTCATGTGACCAGGATGGTGCATCTCAGAGTGCTTCAAAAAGCTCATGGGCAAAGGCAATTGAAAGCTAACTTGATTGTTGTGCAGATGTCTTCGCATTGATGTGCTCAGTTTGTTTCTAACATGCAGTCTCCATGGGCTTTTTCAAGACCCCCCAGATGCGTGTCTGTCTGTGGATCTGCATGGTGAGATGAGAATGAGTCCTGGGTGGTAGGTCTGACCTGGCTGAGAGAGGGTCCACCGTTCCCACCCTACGCTTTTTGGGGGACCTGGCTTGCACAGTGTCCCCCCAAACAGGGCGCATTGCTAGAGCAGACCGTCTTACTCCCACCTGCATGCTGGCTTCATGCAGGAGACGGGACCCACCCAGGCCCCCCAGGCCTGCTGGACTCAGGGAAGATGGGGCTGGGCAATTGGGAATTGTCAGAGCTCTCTACAGAGTCCAGTATGCAGCCAGCGCTGGGAACCACCTGTCAGCTTGGGTGGTGTTTTCTTTTTAAGATTGATATATTTGAAATTTGGGGGGTGGGAGAGAGAGTGAGCTTCAATCTGCTGGTTCTCTCCCCAAGTGGCCCCAACAGCCAGAGCTGGGCTGGTCCGAATCCTAAGAGCCAGGAGCTTCATCTGGGTCTCCCAGGTGGGTGCAGGGGCCCAAGCACTTGGGCCATTTTCTGCTGTTTTCTTGGGTGCATTAGTGAGGAGCTGGACCAGAAGTGGAACAGTCAGGACTTGAACCATCACCCATATGGGCTGCCGGCATCACAAGGCGGTAGCTTAACCTGCTGCGCCACAGCCACATCTCCAGCTCTGGGATGGGCGGGATTTTATGAATAGAGCTTTCTGCTCCAGGAAAGGACTGTAGGCGTGGTCAAGCCCCAAGGGTGTGGGGTGGGGTGAGGGGAAGCCACTGGACAGGCTTTGGGTCTTGAGAAAGAGCCTTGGAAGTATACAATCCATGTGTTGTGCAAGAAGTGGGGGGGTGGGGGTGGGTGGGATTGGAAGCATGGAAGCATGCTGGAAGATTTTCTGTTTGAAGAAGACTTGAATCAAGATACCCTAAAAGGGGCCTGAAGAAAATGCTGCTCTCTGTTCAGGGACTGTCCCAGAGTGTGGAGAGACCTCAGATGTCGTTAATGAAAGGAAGAGGAGACCCTGCAGGCTGGCCAGGGGAGAGGGCGAAGGAGCGGGGGAAGGGACTGTTGTGTCTTCTTTTTTAAAATTAATTATTTTCTGTTTAAGATTTAATTTATTATTATTTATTTGAAAGGCAGAATTACAAGGTGGTGGGGGAAGAGACAGATCTTCTATCTGCTGGTTCACTCTGCAAATGGCCATAAATAGCCAGAGCTGAGATCTGAAGCCCGGAGCCAGGAGCTTCTTCCACGTCTCCTACACAGGTGCAGGGGCCCATGCATGTGGGCCATCCTCTACTGCTTTCCCAGATGTATTAGCAGGGAGCTGGATCGGAAGTGGAGCAGCTGGGACTCGAACCAGCACCCATATGGGAAGCTGGCATCACAGGCAGTGATGACTTTAACCACTATGCTACTGTGCCAGCCCCAAAGATTTATTTATTTGAAAGGCAGAGAGAAAGAGAGAGAGAAAGGGAGAGGTTCCATCTGTTGGTTCACTCCTCAAATGGCTGAAACAGCAGGGGCTGGGGCCAGGCTGAAGCCGGGAGCCCGGAGCTGTTACCTGCATCTCACGTGGCTGCAGGGTCCCAAGTACTTGGACCATATTCTGCTGCCTTCATGGATGTATTAGCAGGGAGCTGGATCGAACGTGGAGCGGCCGGAACTCCAACCAGCACTCCAAGATCACGGGATGCTGCGTGCCAACAGGCGGCTTGACCCGCCGGACCTAAGGGACTGTGCTTTGGGGTCACCTTTTTGAGTCCCTCCTTGCACTGGCTTGTGGGCAGGCAGGTCCGGTGGGCTGCCAGCCCTGGTGGACCGTTTTGTGGTGCTGAATTTTACCGGAGGGGGTTAGCAAAGACTGGACTGGATGTCATAAAACAGGACAGTTCTCCCAGCAGAGTGACACGTCACAAAGGCATGGCAGAGATCTGCAGTTGGGATCCACTCCTTGGATCTAACCACTTCTCCTAGTGTCTGAAACCTTTTAAGTGTCCTGTCTCCAACCACCGCTCCAGAAATCACACCCAAGTCTGCTTTGAAGAGTGGCTTTTCCAAGGAAAGAGCTGCAAGTTACTCTGGGGCCTGGAGAGCTGGAGAGAGAGCGGCGTTGCCCCCCATGCCCCGGAGCCCCTCCCCATTTCACGAAGTTTGGAAAGTGACCTCTGAGGCCTAACCGTGGAGTTCCACTAGGTGGCAGGCGGGTGTCTCCCCAGTCTCTGCCGGCCCTGGGTGTGCTTTCTTAGCTGCACCCTCAAATCGGCTACAGTCCTGAAAGGCCACGTGCATATTTTAAACAGGTGCACTTGACTGCTTCTGGCCATCTCTGCGAACTTGGACGGTTTTGTTCAGAGGTGGCTGCAAGCTGTGTCCTGGTGGTGGCCCACTGTGGGTGGGGGATGGGGCACTGCAGGTGGGGTGTCTGTTCAGAGGCCACCCCCCCCCCCGAAGAGGCCTTGCACAGCATGTTAGGCAGTGGTGTGCTGGTACGTGCTTAATGTGAGTAGGGCGAGGGGGGAGCGCAGGGCAGCCCCTGACTTGCCTTAGCTGACAGCCATATGGACCTGGGGGTTGCACGGTGGATTCACACACAGGTGTTGAAGCACTCGCACCCACAGGTAGACAGCAGTACTGGAGCACCCAGCAGGGCTGAGCGAGGGGCAGGGCAGGGTCCAAGCCCAGCTCACCAGGACTTCGGTAACGGACATCTCACTGGAACACAGTCCCCCCCCCTCCCCCCGTCCCTTCACGTGTTATCACCTACGGCTGCTCTAGGGTCACGATGCCAGCGCTGAATAATTGTGGCAGAAACCTTATAACCCACAAGCCTCAAATGGTTACTCTCAGGCCGTTTCCAGAAAAATCTTGCTTGCCCCCCCCCCCACAGATAGGTGTAAAATGTGAAGTAATCGGGAAGTGATGATTTTTTTGAATATTTAATACCTTTGCTTCAAATCCAACCTTTTAGCTGTGCGTTCACATAATGCAATAATGCGTGGATTTAGGAACTGCCTCCCAATATTCCTGAAAACTGAGCAGCTGGCTCTCGGGAGCCTCGGGGCAGCTCTGAAGGCTGGCATCCTCACCGGTGCACCTGCAGGGCCCTCCGCTCCCCGCAGCGCTGCTCCCGGGCCTTGAGGCAGGGGCTTGCTCTGGCTCCAGTGCCTGGCACAAGGCAGGTCTCCCCCGCGGGCCGGGCGGGAGCAGGCACTTTCCACCCTACCCGCACTGAGGCCTCCCCATTCACCATTGTTGGTATGGCCAGAATGCGCGCCCTGTCCCCCCTTTCTTCTGAGAAAGCACAAGAGGTCCCAGTCTCTGGTGCCCACATAATGTCTCCTCTCTTCCCCCTGGGCTTTCCGTGGACTTGAGACGAAAGCGTGTCCTTGAAGTGCCTGGCACCAGGGACCACGTACGCAGCAGCAGTGGCAACGGCAGCGTGGCAGTCAATCTGGTCCGGACACCTCTGTCCGCCTCCACGATTGGGTCACCCTCTCCCGCCTCCGTGTTGCTCTCTGCAAGGTTCACTCGGGCCGCGGGTCCTGCCGCGCGCAGCTCTGCCATCTTGTGGCCATCACAGGTTATGGCAGTGCCCGATTCCTTAGCTCCCCAGGTTGGGGAAGGAGCAGGTGGTTTTTGCACGCAGATGTGATGAGCAAATTGCATTAACGCCTGGGAGGCTTGAGGCTTCCTCTGTGATATCTCAGGGCATTTGGTCAGTGGAGGGCTTTTCTGCTTATGACTGTCCTCTCTCACAACCGGCTCGACCCTTTCTCTGCCTCTCCGTCTAGCTGGAGCCCGCATCTCACACAATTCAGGGTAGGCTACTGCCATCTGCTGGGAGAATGCCGTAAGGGCGGTTGTGCGCGAGGGAAGATTTCCAATCTGCAGCCTTCTGTAAGGACAACAGGTAGGTGCCAGGACTGGGCTGTCACACCCCTCGAGGGGCGGGGTAGGCCCGGTCGCTTCTCGGTTCTGCATATCACGTTAGCAGGGTCCCACTGTGCAAATCAGCCACGCTCTCATCAACCCTGGTTTCCGATTATCCAGGGAGCTTTAGGAATGCAGGCTGGGAGGCTGGGCGCAACCCTACAGCACCAAACCTGGAATCTGCATTTTGTTTTCAGAATGACTGATTTATTTGAGGTGCAGGGGAGGGTTAGTTTCCACTGGCTGGTTCAATCCCCCAAATGCCTGCAACAGTCG